CATCATGAACCACTGAACTGTTTCTAAAAGAACTTGACCAGACTTGCTAGCCTAGCAGCATTAAGACCATAAACAACACATAATGCAACACTTTCACGATGCAGACTCAGGAATTTAAAGGTATTAGTTTCTCCATTCACTCAAACTATAGTTTTAATTCGCATACATCTATGGAAAAAGCATAATTCAGGCCCATAAGATCATTGTGCCAGGTATTACAAACTTGCAGTTGTGAGTTTCCTGTACCTTTCAAATCAAATGGGCGTACTGCCATGACGTTTACAGAGTACCTTCATGCTCCTAAAGGAATGAACTCGTTTGACTGTAGGAATTAGTGTTACCGAGTGGTAAGACTGTATGGATTTTGTCTGCTGAGTCACAACCTTGGACAGTGTAGGTTTGTGTTAGTGAGAAGCAGAAGTGGGGCAAACCCAGAGCTGTACAAACAAGCTGCATTTTGCCAGTTTGATTTTCCAAAGCTAGTGAGAAGATGTGTACAGTTCCGCCAGACTTTAGATAGATCCTTTCTGTTTTGTTTTGTTTTTTCGCTTCAATCACAATGTAACTTATGCAGCTGATTGCTAATAAAGGGAGTCATCAGTTCTTGTTTTGTAGCAAAGATACTTCTTGATACTCTGCTGTGGTGGATTGAATACAAAAAAGACTTTTCTGTCTGCTGATGATTTGCCTTAGTGTTCTCTGGTACTCTCCAACTTGCTAGTCATTGTAAACTGAAATGTGTACAGACGTATTTTTTTCTCTTGTGGTTCTTTTGGCTGTGGTCTCTGAAAATGACATGCTAATATCCCGAGCCCTTGTATATGTCATTTGGATTTCAAATTAAAACATTTTTGCATGTTTTTATCTTTTCATTATGGAAAAACACTATTTTTTATGTTTAGCAAATAAGTCACCACTTACACACACACCAACACACAAGTATTCATTATGTGGATTCAGAAGAGGTGACTGACTTGGCTTTCATCCAAAATATTGGGGGGGGACACAACACATTTTTACCTCGTTAGAGCAAACAATATCATTCATTTAGAGTGGTGTTTGTGTACACCTGGTGAATGTAAATGTGATATTCACTCTTTGCCACCAGCCAACTCCAACTCTACCAACTCCTGAGAGAAATATCTGGCTCTTTAAGTGCTAAATGCTCCACTATGTTCATCAGTTAGTCTCCAACTGTGTGCAGAAAAGAAAGTGTGGAACTCTATCACCAGAGCCCGGGGTTGTTCCTGACTCCCATCTGTGCAGTTTTGTTAGAGTTAGGGAGGAGACACCAGGTCACAATCTTTCCC